GGGGGTTCCATCTATGCAGCCACAGGGAGGGCATCATCCCTGCTGGGTACTGACCTTCCAGTATGGCTGCTTTAAGGTCACCTGTGTTCCTGTCCCTAAACCCTCACCATTGCTCTGTAAATCAGCCTAATAAACTCACTGGCTTTCCTGCGTGAACTTTGGTGGAATCGTACCTTGGTTTATCATTGGGACCTTGGAGAGGGGAATGAGATGGTCTCTGTCCCTGGGGAGGGATTTTAGCAACATATCATAAGCAGAGTATTGCTGTGATGGAATTGACAAGAACGTTTTGGGAAGGATTGTGGAAGGGTCTTGGAGCTTTGGGCTGAAGATGTCATTGAGGGCTCACAGCTTAATGAGCTACTGTGGGAAACTGGAGGATCACGCGGAAAGCATCACAGACAAATGGAAACGAGTCTTGTGAGGTTTCAGAGGGCACAAGCCAGTTGGCACAAGCCAGTTACAGAAGGTTTCCCGAATGCCTACAGTTCCTATGCCTTTTACAATGTTGTCTGTCTCCGACCATCCACTATGGCCCTGTAGGATCTGCCCTATGATCAGTTAACGGAGGAGAAAACTATACCCCGGTTTACTGGTTGTTCTTTCTTTCCCTAAGACAGGGTCTCACCATGCAGCTCTGACTGTCCTGGAACTCACTCTGTAGACCAGCTACTGGTGGTTCTGCATGCCATGCAGGCATCGTCCTGAACTGCATAGCTGCTGCATCACAGACCCTTTCCAGAACAACCATAAAGGACGCTGGTGAAAGTCTGCACAGTGATCAAACAGATCGGTATGTTTGCTTAGACAGAAATGGACATATATGTGGGTTTTCACTGATCAACGGATTGGCTAGATAGTCAGGGATTTAGAAGGAGCAAGATTGAGAAACTAGTGAGAAAAACATTCGGGGAAGAATTAAATGGCTGTTTTATCAGAAGACCTAAGTTTGATTCCCAGCACCCAAAGTATGGTTCACAAATGTCTGTAAGAGGCCAACCCTCTTCTGACCTCCCTGGGCACCATATGTATGTACATATGGCACACAGACATACATGCATGCAAAGCACCCATACATGTAAAATAATAATAATCACTAAAATATTATAAAATAAAGATACAGTTAAAGTGTATCTTAACTGGGTGGCAATAGCCTGGTATGTTTGGGCAGGCTCTCCGATGTCTGTATATGCTTTGAATCAGTGTCCAATATATAGTACTGTTTTTCCTGTAGCTGGGATTCACAGGTCCAGGAATCAAGGGGAAGAAATGGCGGTGGTTCCGCTCACAGTCACTCCAGTAGCCTGTTAGGAAGTTGTTTGCTTCCCATTCCTGTGACCTCATGCTCTGTAAGCCTGGAAGGTTTGGATTTAGATGGAGGATTGCTTCTACCAGGAGGCCCACCAAACATTTCACTGAACTGGAGTGAGGAGTTGGCCCTTTGGGGCTCCTGACGTTCTTGAGCCAGCTAAGAAAGGAACAACCGTATTAGAAGGACCGATTGACCCAGACTACCAGGGAAGACTTGGACTGCTTCTTTATCATGGGGGTAAGGAAGAGCACATCTGCGGTGCAAGAGATCCTTCAGGGAGGATCCAGGCCAGTTGGAAGCTACAACCGTCCAGTCCAGACATGAAGACAGCAGGACCAGACCCTTTGAGGGAAAGCATGATTTTACCCACACAAAAGCTCACGAAAGCACTCGCTGAGAGTGGGGGAGGTACAGAGCGGGCAGTAGCAGATGACCAGTAGCACATGACCAGTAGCACATGACCAGTTACAGACATGGAAACTGTAATTGACATGAATGTTTTTGTCCTACCCAGCAGGCATTATTTGTAAACATATTAAGTAGGCATTTATGGCTTTCTTTCTTCTGTTTATTTATCATGTAATATAACATCAATTGAGATAATATCAATGGTTAAGTGTGGTAAATGTATATTACTATATTAAGGTCACAAGACATTAAAAGAAAACCCTAAATGTTCCTCAAGGGACTTTGCTACCAACTCTCTGGAGCCCAGAAGAATCCAGATGGTGGTCTTCGGAGCTGCAAGGTTTATTGTTTTTCCCTCTTGGGCTTGATTATACTTTGTTATGATTGCTCATTCGCTTTGGCCTTGTTTTTTTTTTTTTTCACAAGAATGTCCACTTGGACCAAATATGTTGGAAGTACGCTCTTGGGAGTTAAGAGGTTGGAGACTATTAAATCATCGTGGTTTTTTAGGACTGGGGGTCTTTTAAAGCAGACTGTAGTAATGCGTGCTGAGGTCAAAACCAAAGGCCTTGCACACGCTTGGCAAGAACCTTAGCACTGAACATTTGTGTTTCTTAGTGGTTAAGGCTGAGGCCAGTGGGTGCTTCATGCATTCAGATGAAAGAGTAACGTCTTTTGATGTCATTCTTGCTCTTGCTCATATGTTCAGCCATGTTTATTAGGCGTCATTGTGTATCAAAAGTTTGCATCGTACTCAAAATAGCCACAGAAGTGAAAGGGGCATCTTTCTCACAGTGCAGGATGAAATGCAAATAAATATTTACACTCTACACAAAGATTGAGAGTTTATTAAAGCCCTTGCCTGGCAAAGCCCTAGAAAGCCCCAGGTTTGAGCCCCGACTGAACCAAGACAAAAATTAAAAAGAAAAACTGTTGCCTGGGAGAACTCAGTGAAGTCCCCAGCGATGGCGTTGCTAAGCTAGAGCGCCTACCAACCTACCATGCAAGAAGCCCTGTCCCATCTCCAGCTGAACATGGTAGTGATCCCTACAGTCACAGCACCTAGAGGCAAAGGCAGGAAGATCGTAAGTTAAAATGGGGAGCTAGGGACATGACTTAGTGGGTAAGAGCCCTTGTTGGGCAAACATGAGGCCCTGACTTCAAATCCCTAGGACTCACATTAAAAAGCTGTGTGTAGCTGTTAAAGCTTGTAACCCCAGTGATGACAGAAGGCTCCCTGGATTTTAGCTGGGTAAGGTGGAAACGAGGCAACAGCTGCCCTCGTCTGGCCATAACATGCAAGTGCAGAGGCATGTGCACTGGCATACACAGGTGTGCATACAGTGCCCAAGTGTGAACACACCAAAAACGCACGGCAAAAAGAAACAAGCAGCTCGAGGTCACAGAAACTTCCAGCACCGTGATGCAGACTTATTTTCCTGATCACTAGGGGGCTGAGGCCGGGAGGATCATTGAAGCCAGCTGGGGCAACTTGACAAGCCAGGAGCAGATACGAGACTCAGAAAGTGCTGGTCTACTTTGCTCAAGGTCGAAGATTGAGAAGCAAAAGGAAACTGATTTAGCAGAAGGAAAACGTGCACAAAGGTACAGAGGCGAGAAAATGCACGGTCACCTCGGGGATGCAAGTAGTTGGTAAAGGTTGAGCTTCTTGTAGCCTAAGACATTAAGATGGGTGCAGAGCCCACGTTACCAAAGACAGAGCAAAGAGGTACACTTAACCCTCTACCCCGGAGGAAGGAGAGAAGGCTGGTTGTGATGGAGAGAAGTCAAGTCTAAGGGGTACTGGGGGAAGTCAGTGTCTGTGTCTTCATTCTGAGAGCCCTGAGAAGGGGACTCCTGGGTCATTGGTTCCTCCCACTGCTCATTGGGGTGAGGAGGTGACAACACAGGGGGACAGGCAGCCCAGACTTATTCCTGCCAGTCACTGTCTGAACCTGGAAATCAGATTCTCTGCCAGAGTGGGGTTTGGCACACCACCTCTTCTCTTTTCTTATCCGTTTTCTGGTCTCCCTGAGACTTTGCTAAGAGTTCAAGTAGAAGCTTGGGAACCCAAGGTCCAAAGTTAGGAAGACTGTGTTTACCCACAGTGCCCCAGCAAGATGTGGATGAGGCCGGAACACTGAGTCTGCCCATTCGCTGCGGAGCCTGGGTGCTCTGGTGTGGACAGAGCTGGTTTTCTTCTTAGGGTCCTATTGGCTCAGGAGCTCATTCAACATGAGGTCTGGAAGCACAGCCTGTCTGGGTTGCTGGGGTTCTGGATCAGCGTGAACTACAAGGTTCTGACAACCTGCTGTCACTGACACATGTGGAGAGCGATGGGACCTCACCCGTGCAGGCAGAGCTCACCCTGGACTGCTTGGTAGGTGGCAGCAGGAGTGACTCCATAGGAAAGTCTTGTTGGGCTAGCTCTCAACCAGGGGATGGCGCTTGGGACCACCGCCTGGAGAGTGGAGAATCCAGGTACCTGAAATGGTGATGGTATGACTTTGCTCCCAACTCGGAGTTCCTAATCTCATTTGATCCTTTGCAACATTTGCAGGATGATATTGAAGATCTTAAAAGTCACCTTTTAGTTTTAGGGAGAAAGTCTCCCTCCCAGGTAGATGCCCAAAACCACAAACTGTGTTAAGAAAGTCAAGTGTTTCTGCACTCCCCACAATACACCCAATCCTGAGTTTTCCCAGACCGGTGCTGTACTCTTCCCCACTCGAAACCCAACTCACTTCCATCTGAAATGTAACGGGGCTGGGTCCCCTTGCAGGGGAGACAGGGGTTAAAACCCAGGGCGCGAGCGGCCCCTTCCCCCTCCGCAGACCCCTCGTCTCCACTCGGCGCCTCGCCTGGAGCGGAGGTTCGGAGCCCTACGCGAGAGGGGAGGAGGAAAATGGGCTTGTTTCTCGGGTGGCCAATCCACGAGCTTGCGATGCCTCAGAGGAGGCGCCAGAGCTAGGCCAGCCCGGGGCTGCAGGCTTCCCGCGGCAAAGTACAAATGCACGGCGTCTGGCGCCCGAAGCGTGCACAGCGGCCTCGCTCAGCCTCCCCCGCGCCGCCGCTGAGGGTCCTGCAGTCCCGCAGGCCGGTGCGGAGTCCGCACCGCCGCGCCGCCGCCAGCCTCGCGAGCCCCGCAGACCCCGGTTCTCTAGCTAGCACCTTCTCCCTTTCTGCCATCGCTTTTCCTCCTGCCGGACGTTCCTCTAACTCCTCATCTCCCATCTCTTCATCTCTCTCCCTTTTCTCCTTGTCCCCTCCCTCTGTTCTCTCATCCCCACCTGAGACCTCTCCTGTCCTTGGCTCCTCTTCATCTTTGCTTCTCCGACTCCTTAGGCAGTGGTCCTACTTGGTCCTGGGGACTTACTTGCATTCCTCTCAGAGTCTTAGTTTCTCCCGGCTCATCCCGGGGTTGTCTGGCCTTGGGGCAAGGAAGGATGGTTCCCGGGGTGAGAATCTTCTCGTCTTTGCTGGGACTCGTGATGCTCTGGTTCCCCTTGGACTCGCAAGCCCGAGCCCGTAAGTAGAAACGAGGCAGAGTCTGGGCAGGCAGGGGAGGGATGGGGACCACTGGGATGTAGGGAGCCCTAGTTCGTGAATTCATTCAGGCAGCACCTGCATAGCAGGAAGTCTGAGACAGTGCGGGCTGGTGAGTCTGGGGGAAGACAAGGGCTTGGCAAACCAGGGTAGCGGGGTTGCTGCCCTGCATAGGGCAGGCACTGTGCATTGTAGAAAGGAACCATGTTCCCAGCAGTCCGGTGTGTCGCCGCGGGAAAGGAGTGTGTGATGAAGCGTAAAGGCTGTTGTGTGGAAGAGCTCTTGGATAGAAAGATGAGCAAAGCAGGGTGACCTTTCTGGTCCTTTTTCTTTCCGGATGCTCACAATACTGCAGGGAGGTGCCATCACTCATTTTAACAGATGAGTAAACGTAGCGGGGCAAAGAGGAGAAAGTTACCCAAAGCTGTGAACAATCCATACCTGGGACTCTAATTCCAAAGCCCGTCTTGCAGTGCCTGGAAGGCACCGTGATGTGGAGCTGGGAGACACTGGAAGGCTTCCGGACATGGTAAACTAGATGTGCGTTTTCATCTTCCTAGCCCCACTGAATACTACCCAGTGGGAGTCAGACACGGAAGGAACCTCACTGCCTCTTTTCTAATCTATAAAATGTGAGACTCCTAAAACCATTCTGAGTATTAAATGACAGGGAGTAGGCAGGGTGACTTGCAGAGTGATGTTTTGCGAGGTAGCTTCTCCAAAGTATAATGCTGGAGTTTTTTTCTTCAAAAACAATGTAACCTCAAGCAGGTTATGTCGGCCCATAGCCCCCTTAAACTGGTAATCACTTCTGAACTCCCTTAATAAAGAAACAGGGACCGACAAGGGGCAGTGGTTTGCTCCAGGCCACAGGGGCAGAGCCTAGCTTGAAGACCGCAGCTGCCTACCTCCTAGCTGAGAGCCCTCCATCTCCACAGCACAGCTCCGCAGGCCAGCTCTGCTTCCCTCTCACGCCCAGCTTTGTGGAGCTGGTGAGGCTAGTTTCTGTCTTTTTTTGTTCTGGTGAATGGAAGGTTGCATGTCTGCCTGATGTTCCCTAGTCTGCCAGAGGCTGGAAATTTGTAAATGTCCTCATGAACGGGAAACAGAGTGTTCAGAGTTGGGTTCGAGCCCTGACTCTGCCTCTTACATTGGTGTTACTTTTCAAACCCGTGAGTCTTGGTTTCTTCCTCGGCAAAGGGGAGCTACTAACCAGGGGTCTGAAGGGTTTGGGGAACAGTGCTTTCAAATGCCTAGCAAGATGCCAAATACTCAGTAAATGTCCTCGCTCCTTCCTTGAACCTTGAGGACTTCCTCCTAGTCTGCTTGCTTGTCCACCAAAAGAGAGAGTCTCAGAGGACCTCTGTGCCTGCCCTGATCTCGGCCTTGGCCCCGCAGCTCCTTTCCCAATACCAGTGCCCTGGGGGGTCCACTCTGAGGATGGCCCAGCAACTACATGAAGCCATTGCTACCCCACATGACCACCAGCTCTTCAGAGCTTTACCTTTGACTGATGACCCCGCCCCCGCCCCCTCACCCCCGTGAATCTGTATCTGTCTCCCCAGGTCCCTCAGTATGTCATCTCCTCCATAGCCTTGTACAAAGCTCCAGACACTCAAGAAAATGACCGCCATTTAGGTGACTTGGCATTCGGGGAGGAGCATTAAGATCCTGGCATTGTCAAGGCTGGGAGAGCTTTCTCTTCTGTGTCTAGCCGTCAAATTACCTATTTTTAGAGTTAAGATGAAGGGGGGGAGGGGACACTACTACAGAGCCATGGAGAAAGGAACAGAGACCTAGATCCTAACCCCAGCTCTGTCATCTATTGGTCGCGTGTGTTGGGACACCTTCACCTGTCACTGAGCCTAAGGTTGATTGGTGCTCTTGGTCTGTGAATTTTGCCATCATTGCAAGTCTCCTGCCAGCATCCTGTCTTAAGGTCTCAAATGAAAAGTCTTGTCTTAGTGTAGGAGAGATCTCAAGCATGTGGTGTGTGTGAAGTCTCCTGGTAACTCCAAAGTGCTTTTACAAATGGTGCCGACAGATGGGTGTTCTCAGGTGTGTTCGGGACGGACTTCCAAGGTGGTCACAGCTTGAAACATGGCTGAGGCCTGTGAGCGGGGATTTTGGCACACTCTTTAGTTGAAGTCCAAGGCTTCTCAACAGAAGTTCTTTATTCTCTTTTCAGCTCTACCCACAGATCCAGACTGAGTCTCTGTTAGGCCATAAGCTGAGCCCTAACTGTCCAGCCTCACCACGGACTGTATCCCATTTTCACATAAGCTGGAGGCTCTGTCCTAGTTCTGACTGTGCTGACCCAAGCTCCAGGTGGAGTCACGTCTGTGTGGTCATTCATCCCCTCTGTGACCCAGAAGTGGCCCCATCCTTTACTCATCCAGTGCCTTCCCCAGCACTTGCTTCTCTCTGCGTGTCCTCATGAACCATCAGATCTAGCATGCCTCAGGCTTCTCTTCTGTGCTGCTTTCGGGAGACTAGCTGATTACCAAGTAAGGCATCAGCCCTCTGGAGTTTGAATCTAACGGGAATTGGAGTTTTGGTTCCCAGGTGATGGATTCTCAGATGTCAGAAGCAGGCCTGGACAGAGGGTAGTTCCTCAGATGTGATGTGTTAAACCCACCCTCAGAATGTCAGGGTAGCAACACTCGCTCTTTCCCTGATGCCAAATCTAACCTCAGGCACCGTGCCCTTCCCTGCCTCTGCCACCTGTGAGGTAAGATGCTCACACTTAGGTGACGTTTGAGGACCAGGGTAGCATTAACTGCCTGTCTCTAAGATGTCCTCATCTTCATCCACTTGACTTTGGGAGTGGGAGTTGGGAGAGTGTAGGTATTCTGCCCCGTGGGGAGGGATAGATGAGCAATTCTAGGAAAACATGCCTGGAACGGTCTAGGGAAATATGTATCTGGAATACTTGGCAATATGGAATCCTTCCCTGCTGTCCAGCTTAGCCACATCTCTATCCATCTGTCTAGATGTGCTTGCCCGGGTGGGGAACAGCTAAGGGAAGGCTCGAAGCTCACCCTCCTGTGTCTGGGTCTCTAACCACAAGGTTCTGCACTTCTCTGCTCCCACCAGTAGAGGTCTCTGCCTCACTCACTGGCTCCAGGCAGCAAACCCCGAGACAGCTGCGCAGTTGCTCCAGCTGTTGCACCTGTTCCAGGGCTGGCCTCTCAAGTTCCCCCAGCCGCCGGCCATGGCGCCGGCTCGGAGAAAAGGACCTTGAATATCTCGAACTCTCAAAGAGGAGGACCGATGTGAGAGCGGTGTCCCTGGGAGGTGCAGCGTGCAGCACAACGATCAGGCGCCATTCTGAGCAGGACCCAAGCCTGCTGCCCATTCTTGTACTCGGAATTCTTCGCTGTGTCTGGTTGAGTCCTTTTGCTTGCAAGTTGAAGCCATTTCTTCTGGTCCTGTCCCTTGGACAGGCATCTCTATAAACACCCCTTCCAGAGCTGATCCCTCCCTCACTGGGACTCACTTTCTCTAGAATAAGGGAATTGAACATAGTTTGAGTCCTTAGCTTACTAGGATTCTATGAATCTAAGCATATATATTCAAGTGAAATAGAATGTGGACAGCTCTCTTTGATAGGTAATAAAGGTGCCCTTCCTGGCTCAAAGATTCTCTTCTTGGAAGTCCTTCCACACTTCTAAATGTCTGCTGTGTCCAGATGAAGGGAACTGGTTTCAGAGACGCGTATCCCTTCTGCTGGCTTGCGCAGTTTGGCCTCTGAGACATTTCGTGTAATTTCATTAGAGGCCTCCCTCTAGGAGAGCCAGAGCCCAGAGCAAGGCTTGTGTTTTAGAGGGGAGTGAGGGTGTCTGTGTGAATAAAATACGATTGTATGGGTAGAAATGGGACCCGAAGGCTTGCATTCCTGGGCAGTCTGACTCACTGAGATTTTCTGAGTTCTTACTACAATTCCAGCCCTCTCGCTCCTGTCCCTGAACCTCGCGGTGTATTTCCACGGCCCCCTTCAGCCTCCCTAGAAGCTGCTTTTTGGTTCGTTTCTGATTGCTATTGGAAGAGTCCTTAGGCACACTACACACCCTTGACTTGCCCCCACCTTTATTTACCATTGCACGCATGTTCTGGATCAGACTGTGGGGTGACTGTGGGGAACAGATGAGGAATGTTGACTTGCTCGTAAACATCAGGGAGTTGGGGCTGGAAAGTTAGCTCAGTGGTTAAGAGCACTGGCTGCTCTTCCAGAGGTCCTAAGTTCAATTCCCAGCACCCACATGGTGGCTACAACCATCTATATTAGATCTGATGCCCTCTCTGGCATGCAGAACGAACATACATAAAACATAAATAAATTTTAAAAAAAGATCAGGGAGTCATCTGTGCCCTCAGCTGCCTCAAGCTTCTGACCTTTGTGTATAGTGTTCTTTGGTTTGTAGATGGTTTTGGGAGTCAGTGGCCAAGACCTGAAAGGGGAGGTAGAAGGTTCGTTCCTGTGATGTGGCATGGTATACATGTTGAAAGGGCCTTGTTCTTCCATGCAATACTGCTGGGTTTTGTTGTTGCTAAGGAGAGAGGTTTCTGAGATTAAAGACCATCATCGGATCCCCCTCTTTCGGTTAAGCGCATCCACCCATGCATTCATTCATTCATCCACTCCACACAGCCTCTGCACCCACCAGAGGGTCAACACTCATTCCTTCCTCTCACACATTCTGGTAGAGGAGACAGATCCACTCAGCAAGTGCTTCCAATCCATGGTGATAAGAATTCGGACCACATTGGGACCACGCTTAACTCAGTGCAGAAGGTGAAGCCAGGGTTCTGCAGGGTGGGGGTGGCTTTGTAGGGGCAGTGGCATGTAACTGTCTTTAAAAAGGGGGTGCTGTCCTAACACTGGCAGTATGTTCCAGGAGGAAGAGGTGGAGATCCTTGAAGTGATGAGCGAGAGACTCAGCAAGAGGGGATGGGACTGAAAACACAAACAGTAGTGGGTAAAATGTATCCAGGAGCCAGCTCAGGGACAGCCTGGTGGGTGACCTGGGGCGTCTGCAGTCAGCCTGGACCATATCCCTGCCCTGAATTGAGGCCAGATAAATTAAGTCCAGTTCCTTTCGTCTGCTAAAGTAGGCAGGGAGTCTGTGGAGGTGGGTGCTTCCTGTGGGGCTAACACCCTTCAGAGCCCCTCTCGGGCCTTCCTGTCCTAGCCACGGGCACTCTAGCCTCTGTATTTGCAGGTGGCTCCAGATGCCTGGCAAGCCATTCTCCTCCCATTCCTTGTTTAGCACCTCCAAGATCCTGCCTGGTGTCTCTTCACACCTCCCGCCCGTGTGATGTGTGTCTGTGTGTCTGTATCTGTGTGTGTCTGTGTGTGTATCTGTGCCTCTGTGTATGTGCATGCACGCATGTGCATTGTGTGTGTGTGCATGTGTCTCTGTGTGTGTCTGTGTCTCTGTGTGTGTCTGTCTCTGTGTGTGTCTGCGTGTGTTTTTCTCTGTGTGTCTGTCTGTGCGTGTATGTGTCTGTGTGTGTCTGTGCGTGTGTGTGTCTACATGTGTGTGTGTCTCTCTCTCTGTACGTCTGTGTGTCTGCATATCTGTGTGTCTGTATGTGTGTGTGCGTGTCTATGTGAGTGTGCACGTGTGTGTGCACACGTGTGTCTGTGTGTGTCTGTGTCTCTGTGTGTGTGTGTGCGCGTGTGCGTGTGTGTGTGTCTCATGACTGGTTGTAAGACTTGAGTTGCAGAAGTTCCACAAATCAGGGAATGTCAGGAAGCTCTTTCCTGTTACTAATGAGAGTGATGCTCACCGCACAAGGTGCCAAGTGCCCTGCCGTCACTGATATGTCATTCTCTGGCCCCTGCCCAGGAGCTACAACCACTGTGGTCACTTGCCGTCACTCTGCTAACTTTCATGTTGCCAAATGCCTCAGGCTACTGCGCTTGTCTCCAGCCTTGCAGGTGGTTCTGGGCCATCCCGATGACATCACACGCACTCAAACCTCCATGCCCACCTTGACGGCTCCTCTGCCCTCTCCATCCATACCCTGCCCTGTGGCTACCCTTGGAACCGACAAATTTGTTTCTTCCATCTCTACCTTTGCCCATCAAGCAGAGTTGCTTCCCTTTATGACCAGCCACGGTACTCTCTCCCCAGAGTGACAGCCATAGCTCTTTCCTGGTCCCTTGCCCACTAGTCCTCCAATTGGCTTTCAACTCCCAAGGCCCACGTTGATGATGCGTCTAAAATGCAGGCTTGATCACGGCCCACGGTGATGCTTCTAAAATGCAGGTTTGATCATACCACCCTGCAACTCAGTTAATACTCATCACAGGCGCCCTTTGCCCTCTGGATTCCAAGGCCTCATTGCAAGCTTCCATCCCTCCTTCCCCAGCCGAGGGTCTCACCTGTTAATCCTCCCTTCCCTTTCTCTGCCCAACCTTCAGATCCCGTTTCAGCTCTGCACCCCAAGCTGAGGTCCAGATAGGCGCCGGTGATATTAAGGGAGACAGGACTGGCTTTTGAGTGAAGATATAAGGGTCCAGGAGCTTCACGAATGAGGAAACTTTGGAGCTGTTACCTCTGGGGTATTATGACATTCATGGCTAGGAGGGGCTGGAGGCTTCCTGAGAACTATGGAAATAAATACCGTGAGAAATAGACCTTTAAAGAAGTGTAGAGCCAGCACCCAGATCTGGGTTTTGTCAGTCTGGTCTTACACACTACTTACATGAACATATATTGTGATATGTGTCTGACAGCAAGCGTGATGTCGATAGGATCTGACTTAATCCTAGGATAACCCCAAGTGCCAGTGAACAGATGTAGAACTGGTCGTGGGATACTTAAGTAGCTTTACTCAACTTGGGCTTCAAATAAAAGCTATATCTATTATTTAAGCCCCGACCTCTGGGACTACAAAAGGTCCTAGAAATTAAGACATGCTAATTTCTAGATGGAGAGAGAGCTGGGCACAGGAGGGTGGAATAAGAATGGTGATAGGGAGAGGAGGCTGGGCTGGGGCCAGGGGAGGAGGCAGGAGGTTACGGAGGACAAGGGGAGGGAGATATGAAGAGGGCACTGCCTCCTTCTCAGTGGCACTCAGGACTGACTTCAGTGGCTCCCAGAACTTCATCCTAATCCTCCTAGGAGGGCTGAGAGCCTAGGGGAGATGCAGCCATCAGAACCTCCAAGGACTGTGGAATAGCCAATCCATCTCATAACCACAGCATCCAAAAAGCCCATTAGAAGCTTCACAATGTAAAGAAATGTGGGCTTTTACAAGTGTGCAACTCTCAAATCTTGAATCTTAGAAACTTGATAGTGTGGATTCATAGACTATACAGGAAACCTCTGGAGACCATAGCCTACCCCTGTATATCTTTCAAATAGGGAAACTGAGGCTCAGAAAAGGTAAGACGTTTCTGAGTGTCACCTCGTGTATTTGCCACTTCAGGAGCGGGCACTCGTGCCAACAGCCTTGTACAGGAGCTGGTGCTGGTGCCAGGGTCAGTGGAACCAGGATGGCTCTGCTTGGCAGTCTCCTTCCCTCCTGGTGCTCACATGGCCTTGGGCACGCACCTCCCTAGAGGAAGAGCGCTCCAGGCACCTTAGAGGGCATGGTAGGGTGGAGTCTGTGGCCACCAAAGGCCTCCTGCCAGGCCCCCCACAGGCTCAGCTTCTGCCAGGCATGTTGGTGGCAGGGAGGAGCCCTGACTTAGTGGCTCCTGTCCTCACACTCCGAGCGGGCAGGGATGGAAAGGTTTGCCAACTGGCGCAGAAACCCAAGGCTTTAGGACTGCCCCAAGAAAGGTAGGACACAGTTTCTTCAGCAACTGACTGAGACCTAAGGTAGTCACGGTGTTGCAATCACCCCTCCCTTCTGGGGGGAGGGGACTGAGAAAGAAAGACATTATTCACTCCACGGAGAGTCAGACTGACTCTAGCCAGCACCCCAGCTGGGCCTGTGTTCCATCCTCTGCCAGGGGAGGCTGAGAGATAAACATAGCTCATTTGATACGGGCAAGACCAGCCAGCTAGGAGTTGCTGGCTCGTGGGGGATAGGACCTGCTGCCTGGTGCCACCCTCCATAGCGGGTTGGTGGGAACAGGTAGGGAAGAAGCTAAGCTGTGTGTTCCTAAGGTCATCCATGGCCCCTCCAATGACAATGTTAAGTTGTGTATTCCTAAGGTTCTCCATGGCCCCCCAATGAGAAAACTAAACGGTGTGTTCTTAAGGTCCTCCATGGTCTGCCAATGAGAAAGCTAAGCTGGATATTTCTAAGGTCATCCATGACCCCAGTGAGGAAGCTAAGCAAAGCAATGTGTTCCTAAGGTCCTCGGTGCCCCCGCCCCCAATGAGAAAGCTAAGCTGGGTATTCCTAAGGTCCTTCATGACCCACCAGGGAGGAAGCTAAGTGGTATATTCCTAAGGTCCTCGGTGACCCTCCAGTGAGAAAGCTAAGCAAATATTACAGCAATTAATTCTCACACAATGTTTAGGAAATCGTTAACTTATTTTTCACACAGGGTCTGCTGTATCCCAGGTTGGCCTCAAATGCACACGCAGTTGAGGATGACCCTGAACTTCTTATCTTCCTTCCCCACCTTCAGAGTACTGGAATTACAGGCCTCTGCTGCCTTGCCTGATTTATATGACACTGAGCTATATCTCCAGCGAAGTAACATGTAAAACAGCACAGAGAATAAATGCAGGTTTCTTTCTCAATGTTTCAATACGGAGGCACTAATGGCTGGATCTCTCCATTTCTTCTGAAAAGAAGAACTCAAGTCATGGAGGTTTCCTATAGGAATGCCAACATCCATTTGGGACTGAAGAGCCCCAGTTGGCTGTATGGTGGGGAGCTGGCAGAGATAGGCAAGAGATATAGTGAACCTGGGTAGCCATATTGAAATGGGAAACGTGATCCTGGGCCAGCCAGGGGGTAGGGAGAAAGTGAGGGTGACAATGGTTGGTTAGAGATAAAAGGAGAGTGGAGGCTTTGCAGAGCAGGGGGATAGGAGAGGCGGCTAACCCATCTCAAACACAAGCCAGTGTTTCAGTCATTCTGAGAAACAACCCACATACCCATTAGCAACGGATATGCAGACAGCTAGGACGTCAAGTCAAGGTGGCTCAGGGAAGAAACAAAGATAATCTTTGTCTCTGGGTGCATCGTGTTCATATCATGTGTGTGTGTGCGTGCATGTGCAGATGTGTATGTGTGGATGTGGAAGTCGGAGGTTGATATAGATGTCTCTCTAGATCGCTCCCACCTTATGTATTGAGTCAGGATCTGTTGCTTGAACCCAGCACTTGCTGGTTCGACTAGTGAGATTTCTTCTAGTCTAGCCAGCCAGATTTCTCCAAGGATTCCCTGTCCTCTGCCTCCCCAACACTAGGATTCCAGGTAGGCCACCACACTTTGGGACATTCCACATGGGTGCTGAGGATCTGAACACCAGTCCTCACATCTGTGAAGCAAGCTTTTCCGCACTAAACCATCCCCTTGGCTCACAAAGACCATTATTAATGGTATGTGAAAGTTAGATACTGTGTGTGTGTGTAAGAGACAGACTGAGAGGAGAAGGCAAATGAGACAAAGGGAAGGGAACAAGTGTGAGGATGAGGCAGAGGAATAGTGAACACACTGAGAGCCAGGAGATCCAGGCTTTCAGCCTGCCTGGTGTGCTAACTGCTGTGTGGCTTTAGCATCTAATTTGTCCTTTCTGGACCTCATATTATCCACTATGCAACAGAGCGACCATTTATACCACAGTTGTTGCTCCACAAAACCTTTCATTGCCCGATCCCCTCACTGCCCTGTAAACTGCCAAGGCTCAGAGAGGGGCAGCAGCATGCCTGAAATCAAATATGTAGCCCAGCTGAGATTCAAACTCAGACATGCCGGGAGCAGGAATGCAGCAGGGTTTGTGGTTGGGACCTCCTGAGACTAACACTCCTCATTGGTTTGCCAGGACCAGGCAAAGTCTGCCTTTTCGGTGAGAAGATATATACCCCTGGCCAGAGCTGGCACCCCTACCTGGAACCACAAGGCACGATATACTGTGTGCGATGTACCTGCACGGAGGTAGGTTCCTCTGGCAACCGGGTCACCTCTGCCAGGTGTGTCTGCGAGACCAGAGGATGAAAGGACTTAAGGTGCAGACACCCAGGATCTGTCATCCTAGAGAGATGGTGTCAGGGGTGGCTGTGGCTCAGTGACTGGGTGGACTGAGGATCTGGTCCCTAGTCTAGTGTGCATTGGTGCCAGTCTCCACCCAGCCGAGCCAGAGCCTTCTGGCTTCTGTGACTTCTACTCCTTCCTTTCCAAGAAATCCCCTCCAGCCTGCCACCTAACCCCATCTCAGCGTGCCTCCCGTTCAGGAATGTTCATTCTCCCAGGCTTCGCTCTGTGCTCCTCCTGCATGAACACGCGTGTTTCAGCCTCCTAACTACTGTCCACAATGGTGTGCCTCTCTAGATGATGCCCCCGAGAAGTCTCACACATCTAGCCAAAGGCTGAACCAAATGGAACGGAGGCCATGTCTCTGTTTTCATTTCTATCTCCTGCTGTCCGACTACTAATGGAAGCCGTCAGCCTCTTCCCTTACCACCATGCAGCACTTGAAAAAATAGACATAAAGAGAAAATGTTTGTCTACTTCACAGCTTTAGAGGTTCTTGTCCAAGGTCAATTGGTCTCAGTGTTCACTTTGTGGCCAGGAAGCCAAACAAAGAGGAAGAGGCCCAAGTCCCATGGTCCTCTTCAAGGGCCTGCCCCCAGTGACCTATGGACTGCCCACAAAATCCCATATCCCAAACCTCTCAACACCTTCACCTTCGGGGTCATTCAGTATCCAAATCATATCACCAACCCAGCATCTCCCTGGGCCTTGCATAATCATAAAGGATACCAGCGCAAAGCAGAATTCTCCAGGAAGGCGTGAGAACGGAAAGACAGGAGGAGCAGGGCAGAGGGGACCCTCAGTCAGCAGGGCCCTGTTGAGGCGTCTTGAACTCATTTTCTGGGTACTGCTGGGATTTCTGGCTCTCAGACCCTCGGCACCCTATTCTCTCACAGACCTAGAGAGGGAGGAGGCAGAAGTTCTGAGGGCGTCCATGGTTACGACAGAAACTTTAGGGGCAGAGAAGAGCCCCGAAGGAGTCTGAGTGGGGAGCCAGGGGCACAGCTCTTCTCTCTTCCTCACTGGGCTCACTCCTTCCTGGGTCTTTCCCTCCCTCTTCCCGCTGTCCCATCACTGAGCTCCAGGTAGAACTCAGGCACAGATAGGGATACAATTCCCCCAAACTCCAGCTGCCTCTTTTTTTATTATTATCCATAGCACATCAGAGGCCAATAAGCCATTTAAAAAGGAACTTTATGAAATATAGCCAGAAAACAGAAAGGAAACCATAACAGAAAATTCCAGACATGTCACGTGACACGGTTGACAAAGGCCAAGCTTTGTGATCCACTGGAGCTTATTCATGTCTGCTTCCCCAGAATTCACACATGCAGTTTCTTTCCCTCAGTCCAAAGGACTGTTGCCTGTATTTCCAAAGTGCAGTCTGAATGCCTCCCGCTCTCTCCCCCTTGCCCGTCTTCACCATCCAGGCTGTCTTCATCTCTCTGCATCAGCCCACCAGCAGGCCTCTCTACTGTCCCACCCAAAATCCATTCTCCACGAAGCAGCTCGCATGGCCTTTCCTGAACCCAGGGCTATGGTGTTTCTTCCCCCTTAAAACCATCCAATCACTTATATTTGGACAGGGTCTCACATAGCCTAGGCTAACCTCAAATTATCTGAGGATGATCTAGAACTTCTGATCCTTCTGCCTCTACCTTGATGGTGCTGGGGTCATTGGCGTGTGCCACTGTGCCTACTTCATGGGGTGGTAGGAATCGAACGCAGGGTTTCACGCATGCTAGGCAAGCACTCTACCAGCCCAGACCTCTAGCAGCTCCGCAATATCAACACTCTCCCATCTTCCGACTCCACACCCTCGCACCCTGCTGCAACCACACCAGTCTGAACCTCCAGCATTTGGTACATTCCCTCCAAATAGTCTTCCTCTAATTTCAGGAATGGCAACTTTTCCCTTCCTGGTTCACAGTGAAGCTGTCACCTCATTAGAAGGGTTTCTCATACAGTCTCCGGATCTGTCTTCTAATCACGTCACCTGGTTTGATCATGGCCATAAACGTAACTCACGAAGTTAGCTTGCCCCTGCTTCTTAAAGCCCTATGGTCCATCTCCAGCCACTAAGATGCAGGTTTCTGAGAACAGATAGACTGTCCCTTATCCTGGTTGTGTGTCTATGCCCAGTATAAGCACTCAAGGTGTCTCAGCATCCCAGGCAGGCATGGGCCCTGGTGATGGTGGTCAGCTGCAGTGTGGTCTCAGGCAGCCTCTGGGAGATTCTTTGCACCCAGTATGGATGCTAGTGCCTCTCAGGCTGTTATTAAGGACAGGATGTGAGGTCATCTATATTTACACAGCCACTCAAAAATGGTGGATCTGACCTTAAAGAGAAGTTCCCTCTGACTACAAAGAGCCCTGCCTCATGCCAAGTCCTTGCCCAGGCTGACCCCCGACACCTGATCCAATGCTGCCTGCCGTTCATCATTTCAGCAAGAGCCAAGAGAAAGATTCTAGCTCTTTAGATCACACATCCCTCAAATTCACCTAGCGTCTCACCTAGCCCTCTGTTTACCCTCTTGAGGTTGATTAACTCTCCAGCTGAGGGACCTCTAGGAGGTCACTGTTGAAGCTCAAGCCATTTCTGACCAGTCCTTGGTGTTTTCTCTGGCCGTCTTGGGAAGCAGGGACTCCAGAGAGACTTGGGCAGTCTAGGATCTTCCTTGGTTAAGAGACTGTCTCTGGGAAAAGTTCTGTCCACAGCCCCTGCTGGGCAGAGGGGATAAAAGGGAACACATACTAGAGAGCTGGAGCCAACTTGGTCAACGTTAGGGTTTAATCGATGCTGGAACCATTCGAGAACCTCCATGACTGACCTGGCTCCCCCGGTCACCACTCGCTCACCCTTGTAGATTATAGTGGAGTCAGGTCCCACGCTGACCATGCTTTGGAGTTCATGGTTGGATAGGAAAGGCAGATGCAAACATACAGCACAATGAGTCTGGCATAGGGGCAAGAGCAAGAAGGTGTGAGGAGGCTGAGGAAGGACTGAGAGACAGCCTGGAGCTCTGGGAAACCTCTGCCAGGGGCTATGGCCTCTATCTTAGCCTCTGTCCATCTCTTGCTATGTGTGTTTGTCTGATTCTCTTTTACCTGCTGAACTGGATGACTTGAAAAAACTTCAGATCCCTCCTTCTATGATGTCAACCCCAGAGAGTCTGTCCAGGGTTCCCCAGACCTCTTGGAGAGTAGGGTGATAAAGAACCAGTCCTGTCTTGGTCGCTGTCCTCTTGTGTTACAGTTCTCCTATGAACACAAAGCTCAGGGTCGGTACTGTAAGAAAAAAGTCGTAGAGTTAAAAATAGCCTGGGCAGAGGACCAAGATCAATGCCCAGATATCTCAAGGCTTTTATTTCTATTTCTCATACCCACAAAGGGGCCATGAGGTCTAAGCAAACCCATGACAGGTCCGTCTTTTGCATGGATGAAGCATGCAGATAATTAGGCTAAGTGAGGTCGCTTGGTGGCAGAGTCAGTTTGTTTTGGATTCTATTATACGTAGGCTGAAGAGAAAGCAGGGTTCTGTAATCAGGGTGGATGTTTGGAGCGAGGACCCCTGAAGATTGGAGGCAGTGGTTCTTTGGAATAAGGCCTGACCATGTGTCTGTTTCAGAGTGGCCATGTAAATTGTTACCGCCTCCGCTGCCCGCCCCTCCACTGCTCACAACCTGTGATGGAGCCACAGCAGTGCTGCCCCAGGTGTGTGGGTAAGTAGCACTTTTCCTACCTTGGCCCTGAGCTCCACACAGACCAGTTCACTCTTGCTGTAAGCCCCTGACTGAGAGAAGCCTCCATAAGGAAAAGAGAGACCCTGTCCATCAGATGTATGGGACCTTACAGATGCTAGGCAGACACATTCTGAACCCCCAAGTAGGCGAGGGTAGCAGATTTCTAGCTCCAAAATTGATGCACATTGCAGGAGAAGAAAGCAGATGGAGTAGAAATTGGGTGGATAAGATGGCTCAGCAGGTAGAGGAACCTGAGCTCCCCAAGATGAAAACCTGAGTCCCGTCCATGGGACCCACATGGTAGGAGGAGAAAATCGACTCAGAAGTTTGTCCTCTGTCTGCCACCCACATGCCAAAGCTTACATCCCTTCCCCCAGAATAAAAAAAATGTAATAAAAATGTAAAGTTAAAGAAAAAAAGAGTAGAAACTGACTGAAGGAGATTAGAATGGCTTGGCATGCTGACTCCACTTTTGGGCTCCCGTCCCTCTGGCTATGCAGAAGTAAGGGGGGAATGATTTGGGGCTGGCTGACCCTTATATGTCTTTCTCTACCTCTTAGATTGTGAACCTGTAGGTGACAGGGCCAAACCTTGATAATCACTATGTTCCTGCTTCTTGGCCTAGGGTCTTAGTGAAGGTATTGTGAGGGAAGAGAGGGGTGTCCCAGAGCGGTAGACCATCCCCTCCACCCAGCAGAATGAGGAGTGGGAGTTGGCCAGTGAATGATAAAAGTTTACTCCAAGCCCTGGATGGTGGAGAGCATCACACCTGATCCTATGAGAATAATTCCATGAGGGTGGGAATTCAGTGTTCTCCAAACCTGTCTCTTGGAGAACCAAGCCCAGAGTGTTCCTTGCACACTCATGGGCCTCAGACACTGAAAGGTAGCTGGGCTGTAATGGAGGGAGGCATGTGGTCAGTGTAGGTGTCGGGGGACCTCTTAGGCCAGACCTTAGTTTAAATGCTAAAGAGAGAGAGAGAGAGAGAGAGAGAGAGAGAGAGAGAGAGAGAGAGAGA